ATTATGTATTAAATCTGGAGGTTTATCATAAATAATCATAAGTTGTTATTCACTTCATAGACAGCTTCTCAAATTGATTTCCAGAAATTTTCACACAGTTAAAAATATTTCTACCTTGTCACTACATCTACATTTCCCCCTTCCAGGGTGAACTTGTGTTACAGATGGACGTGTCAAAACCTGAGTGTAATCTTCCTACCCCTCATTCTTCAACCGATTAACAGCATCATTCATCACTTCCAGATAAAAAAGTTCATCATAAGATATATGTCTAATAATATTTCATACTTTGACTAATGTGCACTGAGAAATCAATCCAACTTTCTTATTCATTTGAGGCAAATAAATATTTTCCCTGAGTTTCATCATCTTCACTCGCCCAGCCCACAAAAATAGCAAATGAGAGGGATAGGAAAAAAAAGAAAGAAATAAACATAATAATGTCACAATCTGCAGGCAGCAGACCGTGTGGAGCGGAGAGTGAGGACCCAAATGCAGACAACGTAGGCAGCAATGAACTTTAACAAAAGGCGAGCCATTTATTCAGGCTGATTGTCAAAACAGAACGAAATAAGAAAACCAAAATGAATGACGAACTAATCATGAAAGCCTGGAAAAGTAGAAACATGGAAACACAGGGGTAGGTGAAGAGGGGCTTTGGCAAAGGATGGAGGAAAACAGAGACAATATAGACACCGAGGGATGATGAGGGAAGTGGAAACACATGGAAACACCGCAGGAACAAATTTCCACATAACGAGACAGGGAGAGCAAAACTGAACACAATGCACATGAGACAAGTAGCACACATACCAAGACTCAGACAAGGACATGGCTTGACACCAGGATGGGGATAAACAAACATGGGAGCGCATGACAGACAGGGGAGACAAAGATGAACACACAGACAGAACACAGAGGCATGACTGGGGTACAAAAGAGAGGGCGAGAGACACAGAGGGCAACAAACATGGAAACATGGCAGACCTAACATGGACAACGCTAAGGACAAAACATAAAGGTGAGTGTAAGAACACAGGAGGAGAACACTAAAGAACGAAACACAGAGACAAGACTAAGAGAATGGGACAATAAGCTGATGACCCTAAAGTGACTAAACAGGAAAACCCAACATAATAACATCCAGAAATCAGCTTAATATTCTAAGGCTATGTTCACACTGCAGGCGAAAGCGCATCAAATCCGACTTTTTTGACCCTATGTGACCCATATCCGATCATGGTATGACAGTGTGAACGGCACAAATCCGATATTTTCCAATCCGATCTGGGTCACTTTCGTATGTGGTACTGAATCCGATACATATCTGATGTTTTAGAAAGCGACTGCTGTTTGAATGGTCATCTCGCATTAAATCTGTCTTTTACGTCAATGACACAAGACATACGCCAATTATCAGCGCAGGAGAAGCGCCCGAGAAGACATCGTGAATGCTTCCTGGCCATCCACTGTAGATGTCAGTGAAGCTGTTTGGAAGACAGCGTTGAGAAACGTGAACATTTTATTTGCACTGTATAATCTGCAGATTCTGACAGAAATCTGCAACTATCCTTTGAAGCACCGCTCCTCTCTAAAACAGCAATAAGAACAATCATTAGACCATATGTAAATAACAAAATAACTTTACAACTTAAAGCTAAATTGGGAAATGTAAAGTCCAAAACAAGTCTTTATATTAAGGGCCATCAGTCAAACAATACCGTTTGGTCTGGGTCTAAACAGAGCGTCTTCTTTTGCGCATGCGGGCCGCTTTGAGGGTTCACACTAGAGCGCGTCTGCTATCACATTTTATTTGTAGTGTGAACAAGCAGACAAAAAAATCAGATTTGAGCATTAAGACCTGCAGTGGGAACGTAGCCTAAGATTAATACTACGATTCAAAAGTCCAAAACACAGAAGGCTGGGTCACCAGCCAAGAACAATAACAAATAAACTTACATAAGAGGCTAGAAGTCCCCTAGGCCCCATATAGTTTGACCAATAACACCACAGATATGGGTCTATACATCAGCACTGCCACTATGAAATTGAAAATGCAATCAGCGTGTGGAGCCAGCTGTACTTTCAGCTGCCAATTCTTAAAATTCCTCCTGGAGGTTTGGCTATCTTTCATTCACAGTTAGCCTCCTGCCCTGGCTCTCAGCTGCTGATTCATCTTCTTTAAGACTGTCTTATGAGCACACAGTGAACACAGAAGATCCAGTAACTGCTGTAAGAGAAACTTTAAATGGCATTTCACCTCCCTAGGTGCAGTGATGTGCACCTGAAACCAGATAGACGAATGAGTGTGACTACAAGGTGCAAAACAGCCACACCTGTCTACTACAACAAGAAACAAAAAATATATGTTTTTCAACTACTTAGTCTATGATTCTGACCTCTTGTATGAAATTCTATGTACTCGTGAAAAAATGCATATAGTCAATCAACAAACAATAGAGGATCTACAAAGCAGAAAGCTGGATAGAGCACCAAGCACCTTCTTCAGCTGATAATCATTCAGATTATTTGCTGAATGATTTGTTTATTTGCATGATTTGTATTTTGTTTGGCAATGTTAGAAATTAAACTACATCAGGATGAGAAGCAAAAGTAGCTCCACTGCGTACTATATCAAGATCCCATCTTTAGTAATGTACTCTTTAAACTTGCATAATTTAATGAAAGCAACCGCAGCAAACTCATCTGTTACAAAATCAATGACTCAGCACAGGCAAGAGGAAAAGAGTAGTGTAAGAGAAAACACATATGCATAGCTACCGAGTAATAACTAAGAGCAAGGTGATGCGCTCGGATGAGCAGTAAAATATGTTCAATGAATTGCATGAGATTGGTCAAATAAGGACAGAAGATGATGTTTAATCCAAATGCAGCACTATCATACTTTCAAAACGTAGCAAGGAATGAAATTTTACCATACATACTGAACTGATCCGTGCTGTTTTGAGGATCGTGCCAAAATGTTCACAGATTTCAGTTATTGTATATGTTTTAAGTGGACTTTTGGACAACTGCAGAATATTCATATTCCAAGTTACAACGTGACCAGGTGAAAACATGAGGCTGTAATCAGTCTTTGATTTCGTAGATTGATGACTTCACTTGGAATGAATAAAAAAACCTTCTTGGAGTTTGAAAATATGCTAAAGATGTGACTTGAATCACATCACTGTGACTGGCACTCTGTGTCCCTAAGGCTCTCAGTATCCAACTTCTTATCTCTCCTTGAACTTACACCACATTTGTCATCGCTGTCAGCAGGAAAACTCTTGCTCTTAAATGTAAAGTCAAGCTCCATCAGTTAAAGAAAATCTCATTATAAAACAATAACGGGTTTGTTCTTGACTCGAATGAGAAATCATATCTGTCAAATGTTGCCAACATATTGTTTACATTAGATGTAGATAGAAAGAGGCAGACTTAATGTTATGCAATTACAGAAAATAAAATCACTGTACACTGTAAAGTTTGCTTTTGTCCTTCAAGCTATAATTTGTTTTGAATAATGCATAGAGTGAATGAGTGTGTGTTTATCTGCATGTCTGCTTGGTAGTGTATTAAAATGCAAAATGTCTTTTCTGTTTTCAGGCTTGACGGCCAACTTGCTGGCCTCTGAGTGCTTTTGTGTGTGCTCTGTCGGCCTGTAAAAACAGACTTACAGCATGCGTGTGCATGTATCTGTGTGATTCAGTGCCTCTGTAGATGTGTGTGGGTGTGCAGAAAGGGGACAGGCTGCTTCATCATTCTAGTTAGTTATGCAGACAGACTTAGCAGCAGTTCTCTGGACGTGGCACTGTTCCCCTCCAGCATCAAATATTCAGCACACACACCTCTTCCATTCCTTTCCTTGACGCTAAATCTCTACACCTGGAAGGCCTTCACAGAATGTTGATTCAGTTTACGTCGGAGCAGCGAGTCTCCTGAGGATGTTTCTAATAGAAACTCCTTTCTAATAGAAAACAAAAGTAACTGTTGAACATCACAAAGGTATAAAAGAAAAGCGTTGCTGCATATAAAGCAAAATTCAGCTTGTTCCTTCACTTACAACACAAAATTCCCCTCAGCATGCAAAATTTAGAAACTTAAGTTGATGTGTTATAGAAGCAGTAGTTTACAGTTGAAGTTGCTCAGCAGATTCATTAATATCAGACCCTTTTCTGTATTCGTTTTTACACAAATTTACATTTGCTATAAGGATACATTTTAATGTAGACCATTGTAACCTACAGTACTGAAAGAGGGCATGGTTAACAAAAAAAGAAGTTACTCAACACAATTTAAAGGTGACATGACAAATATTTTATGAACGTACAGCAGGTCTATATATGTTTTCATAATGAGCATTTCCTTATAATAAACAATCAATTTTCCCTCTGCTTAACTTAAATTCCTTTTGTTGCTAATAACAAAAAACAAAGTAATTAATTTAATTTAGATTTCTATTAATCAGACATAAGGAGCTGCACTTATCCAAATAATTAGAATTCCATCAATAAATTAATTATTTAGTGTTTCAGCTTTGCATTGTATTCTGAATTTTGTCTCTGTATTATGGCCACCAAACAGTCCACTGTCTCAACATTTTATCTCAGATTTATATAAATAGATATTTTTCTGTCCAGTCTCCACAGCAGCCTCTTCTTGTTAACACTCCAGCCCACACCCTACAATCTGGGTGTGCATTCATAGGAAACAGTTTCCACTCAAATATTATCATAATTTAGTGACACCACCCTCATTCTATCAGTCTGTAATAGTTGAACACAAAAAGACATTCATATGTTAAAATTCTTCTCTTCCATTTTATCCCATTTTTGAAATTACATGTTCTGAAAGGCTTAACCAAGGGTCAGAGGGTGAGAACATGTCCCAGTGGATATGAAAAACACAACATGTTTTTAACTATTCTTAAATTCTACTTAAGACTTCACTCTTCTTTCAGCTGTGTCTAATACCTCATCTCCAGTATCAGAACTTACATGCTCCAGTTTATCCCTCCTGCGAAGCCAGACGCTGGCTGAGTAGTCCTGCTGCTGCACGGCTGTTATTACGGAGCTGGTTGGAATCCCGGTGACTGGATAGCCAAAACCTAACCCCTGACACTTTGTGTCCTGGCCACCTACTATCCCGCGTATTCCTCGTAACTCCATGGCTGGTTGGTTGGGCAACTGGTTCAGTGGTCTTCCACTCTTGCCAAAAAAAAAAAATCAATTAGCTTGTTGATCCTCAGCCAATAGGTTAAAACAACTCTTAATTCAGCTGCATCCCGTACACTCAAATTTTAACTCAATTTGCACATGCTGAAAAATAATACACTTATTTCTCTGCAATTATAAAAATGTGAGTTTTTTTTCTTCCAAAGTGGTTTGCTATAAATATTCCGCTCTGGTGGATCCTCTTCTGTCAGTGTCTTTAATGACTTAAACACAAAATCCCAGTTTGAAGCTTTGCATTCCTCAGAATAATCAACAAACAGCTTTCATTCTCACCATACCTCTCTGGTTATAAAATGAGACTGTCCCTGTCTTCAACACTTTTGACAAATGTCCATCGGCTGCAAGAAATCCTCTTTCCAGTGCTTCTCCTTCTCATGATATTGCAGAGATCTTCAGTATTTTCTGATCTGGGTTAGACTGGGTTTGGGCTCTGCCCTCAGCAGACGAGGGACTCCGACAACACTGATCAGGACTTCCACCGATTCAGGCATCCCCCGTGTGAGAGCGTGAGTGTGAGGAACAGGAGAAGGGAGGGGAAGAGGAGGGGTTGAAAAGAACACAGAAAGAGGTAGAAAGAGAGGGGATGGACAGAGTTGAGGTGAAGCTGATTCATAGTCATAGAGGGAGGAAAGACCCCTCTGTAAAGCATACGCCGTTATCAATAGACTCTGACGACAGGAGGAACAGACACATCTGTGTTTATCCAATAAACATTATTCAGCCTTTTTCTTAATCTTAAACCTCTTTTTATCCCTTCAATCCTTTCTCTTTCCACTTGTTTTGGCAATTGCCTCACACTATGAAATATCAGTGTTTTCTTCTTTTAACCTGTCAGCTCTCTCCACTTGTGTCACACTCTTTTGCTGCCTACACCTCCAGTTCTGCATTGTCTTTCTTCATTTTCTTCCCACCGCACACACTTGAGTATTGACAGGTTTTTTTCAGATGTTTATCTTTCCCCTGATTTATGACACATGTACCTCTGACTGCACTCAAACATGCAGACATACGCACGCACAAACATCCCCCTTGGTGCATCACAGCAGAGTGGTGCAGTGAGGCTGCAGTACCTCTCTTTCCTTACCTTTGGTTGTGTCATTGTGCCAGAGAAGCAACAGAGCTTAAAAACTTTAATTGGCATCTGGGTAAACTCATGCATACTGTACTGACACACACACAGACACACACAATCGGTTCTACTTCCAGTTACAGGACATTGCACTCACTTGTATTAATTTCCTTTCAGTTATTCCTGTGTGCTTGTACTGATCAGGGCGATTGTGGCTCAAGAGTTGGCCCGTTGTGTCCTTGGGCAAGACACTTCACCCGTTGCCTACTGGTGGTGGTCAGAGGGTCCGGTGGCGCCAGTGTCCGGCAGCCTCGCCTCTGTCAGTGCGCCCCAGGGTGGCTGTGGCTACAATGTAGCTTTCCATCACCAGTGTGTGAATGGGTGGATGAATGGGTGGATGACTGGATATGTAAAGCGCTTTGGGGTCCTTAGGGACTAGTAAAGCGCTATATAAATACAGGCCATTTACCATGAATCCCTAAATCTATACTATATTCCATTAATCTATAGATGTCTTCACCCTAAAATTTAATGAGCTGCAATACAGAAACTTGCTTTCTTGTTCCAAAAAAGGGGAGGCAGCTCCCCATAATATAAGCAATGCAAGTTCTGTCTCACACACCATCTACACATTGAAGTGATTAGTGGTGGAGCACTTTGCTTCACTGAAATAAAAACAGTTCATTTTAATTGCATGCACTGACTTCCATTTCTGTGGTTAGTGTTAATGCTGGGAGTCTGCCAAAGAATGACAACACATGCAGTCTCTGCTTATTATACAAAAATATGATTGGGGTGCCACTTAAAAATAAATAATAAAATAGCGAAAAATATATAAGGCTGTGAGGGTGTTCGGATTTTTTTTATTTTGTGCATGGGAGGAATTCAGGGTGCTGTCAAAGAAAATGTGTACTGGTTTAGTCTAGATTTGATACAATTCCTTAGTCAGAGCCAAAGATTGTATAAAAGATGGATTCTGCCACCATGAAGTCAACCATTAGGTTTTTGATTCCATATTTTTTTAAACCTTTGGGCCCTGCTATGTCAGTTTTTTTGTAAGAGGGCAGAGTGCTAAGTTATGAACTAACTACCAATTCTGCTACAAAGTGCTAACTCACAGACTAAAAGACTAGAATTTCACACACTAAAACAATTAGCTCATTTTAATACATTTTTGTTTACATAGCACCAACTCACAGCAACAGCTCCAAAATGTCATTTTCTTTTTCATGGTAAGCTAAAGTGTAAGAGAGACAACCCCAACAAACAGAGGCTTTTCATGAGCAAGCACTTGGCAACAGTGGAAAGGAAGAACTCCCTTTCGACAGGAAAAAACTTCCTGCAGAAACAGGCTCAGGGAAGGACAGCCATCTGCCTTGACTGGTGGAGAGTGAAAGGAAAGAGAACAAAGAAAAGAAAAGCTTAGAAAGAGAGGTCAAAAAACAAACTCTAGGATGGAGAACACAAAATTCAATGACATGCACAGGTGATTTTTAATATATACACATGGAGGGGAACGATGGGAGTGGAGCAAAAATGCTCAGTGTATCATGGGATGTTCCCCAGCAGCCTAATACAATTGCAGAACAACTAGTGGATGATTTAGGGTCTCATGGATCCAGCCCTAATTTTAATCTTTCTCAGAAAGGAAAGTTTTAAGCCTAGTCTTAAAAAAAAAGAAGATTTCTGTCTCATGAATCCAAACTAGGAGCTGGTTCCACAGGAGATGGACCTGATAGCTGCAGCCTGGCTCTCATTCAACTTTTAGAAACTCTAGGAACCACAAGTAAGCCTGTAGTCTGAGAGTTAAGTGTTCTATTGGGACAATATGTTTTAAAGATGAGATGTGATTTTGTCTGAGCTTTCAAGACATAGAAGAGAAGCTAATAATGAATTACAATACTCCAGCCTCAACATAAAGAAATGCAGGACAGGACGTTTCTAATTTTCTTTCTAGGATATTTATAAATATTGTGCAGATGGCAGAGAGCAGTCCTACATATGTGTTTAATGTGTCCATTGACGCACATATGTGCTGATCAAAGTGTACCAGATTAAACAATAAATCTTTTAACATTTTTAGCACAGAATACAATAACTTCAGGTTTGTCCAAATTTAGGAGAAGAAAGTTACAGGCCAGGCCTGTTTTGAAGACATGCCTGTACTTTACTTTCTGTCGTCTGGCTTAATAGACAAATGTAGTTGAGTACTATCTGAATAGCAGTTAATTTTTTTGCAATGTCTTCTAATAATATTGGATAAGAAAAGAAAGTATTGGTCACAGCACAGAGCCATTCGGATGAATAAACTGGAATCTATTAAATCTAACAGACAGATACGACTCATTTAATTTAATTGAATACAAGCAGTGCATTGTTATCTCAGTTTTATGTTATGAGCAGTGGTATTAAATGGTGGATGGAGGCCTAGCAGAGCAAGTATAGAAACACATCCCCTTTTAGATGCCGTAAGAAGATCATTAGTAACCATCACAAGTGCTGTTTTGTTGCAAACGTCTTGGACAGTCTGTATCACACAACAGGTCATAATATTTGTTGGATACTTCCATTAAAAAGGTCCAAACACAGTGGAGGTTTGATGACTCCCCAAATTCCAATGTCCAGATGGATGTTATGAGTTTCTTTCATTTTTCAGTCCCGGTTAGAACTAATGTTACTATTACTGCCGATCTGGGGAAAAAGCACTTCCACACCTTTCATGAATAAAAAAATAAATAATGACATCATTGTATCATCTGTTATTTAGATGCACTGCGTAATGTTCCTCAGACATTCCATAGAGATATAATTAAAGATTAAAATTAAGATTCAGTGTTTTTTGGAAAAAAAAGAACTTACAGCAAGCCTTAAGTCAGAGCTGTACAGTTGGCTTAGTAAGTGTATTATAAAATTTGCTTTTGAAGAATACTCAGTTTTCTACATTGCTGTATAGAAAGTTATCAGGCTCATTTCATACATGGATTACTTTATACCGCCAATCCAATCATCAAGATTATCCTTTATCCAAAGAAATGGTGTGAACGCTTCTACCTATACTGGCCTCCTTACACAGGATCCAGTCTAAAATTTGATTAGTTGTTTTTAGGAGTCTCAGTGGTTTGGTACCCCTTTCTTAATGGAAACTTTAAAACCCTGCAATCCTAAGAGAGTACTGAGTTCTACAAAACAGCTCCTCTCGGACATTCCTAGATCCAGGCTTGAAAACAGAGGCGATAGTGATTTGAGTGGTGGCTCTTAATCTTTGGAACAACTTACCTCTTTACATAAGAGCTGCCCAGTCTCTCAATCATTTTAAGCACTTTAGAAAACACTATTTCTTCTCACTTGCTTTTTTGTCTAGTCGAGCAGAGTATTCTGGCTTTTATTATGCAAACACAGTCTTATTTACTTGTTTTATTTGAGTTTTAGTGTATCTTTATTGTTTGATTTGGTGACTCTTACACATATAATTGCATATTTCCTGAAACTTTACAGCACTTTGGTCAACTGAGGTTGTTTAAAATGTGCTATAGAAATAAACTTTGACTTGACTTATACCTCATCCTGGTGGTTGCTACAGCAAGGAGCCTGGGCTGTCCACACAAATGTTGACATGCAGCCTGAAAAAAATCAGTGTATATTAAATCACACAGCCTCACAGTCAATAAAGTTTGACCTTCTCTTCTGTTTTCTCAAAGGTTTAGAAAACTCGCCCTTACTAGACATGAAAGGCTAATACTACCTAGCTTCCATTCATTTCTGTGTTATTTTCAAGTGGCTGATAATTTTTTTGTGACACCTCATTGCATTTAAACAATGCTGAGTCAAGAATATTTGTGAAGCAGTCTCAGTCCCTCTGCAGCTCTGTTTCCTTCACTCACATTTTTCTCGGCTAGGAGCCATCAGTGGAGACGCGGGCTGAATACTGAGCACTGAGGTTAATGAGGGAACTCGGATGAAGAGGGGCCCACAAAACCACTGCACCTTGCTGAAAGGCTTTTAGGTTTTAGCCTTGGGGGAAAAGCATCACATTAGCTGCTACACTACAAAGGTGTCTGACTGATGAAACACTTTATTTCTATTAAAGTGGATCAAAAGTGATCCCAGGCTGCGACTAGGTTAAAGCACAAAGCACAAAGCATTAACCGAAAAACTTTGCTTGTTAAGTACATTTTTTCTGTCTTTTGTATAGTGCCGTGCAGCACAATAGAAAGAACCAATTTATGCACTGTGATCCTTGATAACATCCAACATGGTAGTGCAAAAGCAGCATAGAGTCAGTACCACGCTGCTTTAGCCATAACACTCTCGAAGCGGAGCTCAGGTTGTGAAACCATAACTCAGTGCTCCTCACACAAGGAGCAGCAGGAGATGAGTTTTATACACTCTGTGATAAAACTTTCAATGTTTCAAGCACATTTCTTCTAAGAAACAATTCCTTATATTGCCACATTCACACTGAGTACCTGTTTCATAACAACACAAC